CCGCACACGCTACAGCGTGGGTGAGCGAAGTAATTATGCGTGTGGCAGAAGCCAGCCTCAGGGCACACGCTGTGTCATTCGCTGACAGAAACCGCTCTGCAGTGGCAGAAAGCAGGCCGGGGGAGCAGGAGGGGGCGGGGACGGAGAGAGATTACGAACAGGCACAGGAATTTGGGGGGTGGGGGTGGGGGTGGATACATCTGTTACCTTGATGGTGGTGACAGTTCCACGGGTGTGTAAATCTATCAAAAATAAACTGCATTTTGAATATGTGCAGCGTTCCGTTAATTATCACTCAATAAACTGGTTTGAAAAAGGTAACTCGCTCCATCTTTGCTCAAATGGGTGCAGAGTGGCTGGCGACTTATCCTGGGTCACCGAGACAATTGAGTCCTGGCCACCTAAGGACATCGGAGCCCCCTGCCCTGCCCCATGTGGCCCGCGGGCTTTGTTGAGGGACAGTGGTGGGGAATTGGGGGGCGGTGCCGAGAGAGGCAGGCAGGGAGCCACGCTGGGAAGGCTGCAGACAGGGAAAAGCTGAAGCCACAGGCCTGGGGACAAGGGGTGAGGGAGGAAGGGGACGGCACCCTCCCTGTCCCTGGTGAGGAGGCCTCCAAGTGAGCCCTAGGCAGGGCCCCTCCTGCTTCACTGCCGCCTTGGTAAGGCCCTCCCGCTGAGTGAGGGAAGGCAGAAGCCCCCCGCGAGGAGGTATCCCTCTCCAGTCTCCAAGGACGCATCCCCCCCAGACTGTAACAGGTATTCCCCTCAGCCAGACTCCGCAGTGAGCATGTAACCCTTTGAAAATAGGAAGAGATGAGGAGGGAGGACTGAGATCACAGTGGGAGGGGGGGCGGGGAATCGCCCCGGATTAACCTTGTAAGTGCCAGTTCGCCAAAATGCAGCGGGTTGAGGGTTTCACGAGACAGCAACGCACGCCGATGCCCCGGCAGAGCGTGCCCTATCTCGTGGGACGATTTCAGGAGAATCTCAAAGGCCCGGTGACCGTGACAGCCTGCATTGGCCTGAGGTGACATAATTGCTCGAAAAATTAATCTGTGTCTTCTCCCCAAGCCCTGTATTTCCTGACATTTGTGCCAGCTGGTGGAGGTGACACTTTTCCTTGGGAGAATCGGGAGGGGCCTGGTGAGGATTCTGAGAAGCATAAAAACTTGCTTTTCTCTTTAGCTTCTAACTAGGCTGGAGGAGCAGGCAGAGCAAAGAGCTTCAAGTCTTCACCCAAATTAGAAAGAGCCTGGAGGGTGAGACCCATCGCTCATCTCCCAGCCCCGCCCTCCCCAGCCTGACAGGGTCCCTTGGGCCGAGGTGGGGTCCCACGCCTTAGAGGAGGTTGACCCCCGAGATTTAAAGACCAGATGTGGGCGGTCCTCCTGGAGAGACAGCCAACCTCTGATGGTGGCTGGGCCCCCACCTGCAGACCAGTCCTCTCAGAGGGGACATTTCAGGGATGTCCGTGTGAGCGTGTCCCCACCCCTGACATCAGTCTGCAGCTGCCCGAGGACAGCTCCACTGGGATGGGGGGGTGGGGACCTCCACCCTAACCCATTGGTGTAAACTGTCTCAAAGCAGAAGTGGGGCCCTGCTCCCCAGGGGGCAGTGGCGGTACTAGGGTGGCGTTGGACCTCATCGTAGTAGGTTAAATGTTATAAAATTGCATTTTTCAGACAAAAGGAATAGAATATTGGCAAATTTAAATGATTCGATCTGACACACTCTGTTTAGGACTTCACTGGGTGCAGCCCCTTGCATTGGTGGACCTCCCTCCCTGCCTCCCTCCCTCCCTGCCTCTTCCCCGGCCCCTCCCTGCCTCTCCCCCGCCCCCTTCTCTCTCTCTTGCAGGGATACAAAGTTGATAAACTCCCCGCCCTTGAGACCCTCGCTGTATACATGGAAAAGGCAAACTGTGAACTCCTAATTATGACACAGTGTAGCAAATGCCATGTTAAAAGTTACCAAGCATTACAAACGCACTAGGAAGAAGCAACTATGTCACTTACGGGGCCACCGTAGAAGGCTTGCCAGCGGGGCTGTCCGGCTGAGCCCCACAGGCTGCTGGGGAGCGTGGACCCAGAGAGCATGGCCTGGGCGCAGGTGGCACTGGGTGGAGTGTGGCTGGGCTGGGGACCGGCAGGGTGTGGAAGGGTCTCGGGTCAGCTTAGTAGGGGATGAGGTAGGGCTTGGGGTCAGGGGCTTTGCCCTGCGATCCCCACAATAAAACAAGACTCAGCAGCTCGGGCATCGCGTCTGGCTCCTGTCACACACCGGCTTCCCTGCTCCTTGGCCATGTGACCTCGGGGAGCTCACCGAGCCTGTCTGCATCTGTGTTCCCGTCACAGCGGGACCGGCAAGGATCGCCTACTTTGTAGATGGCGTTGCAAAGGCTTAATGAGATGCTGCCGTCGGGCACTTCGTGAGCTGAGCTTGACGAGTGTCAGCTATTGTTCCGACCCGGGGAACAGGTTAGAAAGAGTCCACAGCGCCGGGTGGGGGTGGGCTTGCTCCAAGTCCGGCCTTCCCTTTGCTGCTGGTCGCCTGCGCCTTGCTGAAGCGTGGCCGACTCAGCGGCGCGGGGCGGCCGCGGCTCTCTCCTCCTCTGGGTCTCGGTCTCCCTCGTCGCCACCTCGAATCTCCTCTCGCGTTCATTCTGCTTGAACAGCACTCAGTTCTCCCTTCCCGACCCCTCCAAACCCCGGGTCTGTGCCTGCGGCGTGCCCCTCCGACAGCCTGGCACTGTCAGCGGCTGTTCAACACCAGAATTATGATTTTGCTCCGTGTATTTATGGCAAATTTATTTTAAGATGCTTCTATGCCTTGGTTTACTAAACCGGATGTTCCATTCCATTTAGAAACAGTTGTATGGCAGAGGAGAAAGGAGTGACAGAATCGGGAAGCTTGGGGACAAAGCCTAGCTCTGCCACGTACCAGCGACCAGAACTCACCTCTCAGCGCCTCAAGAAAATGATGATAGGACCTTGGTGCGGTAGGCAGAGTCACCTGGCACGATAAGCCGTCAGCCCCAAGGCAGAGTGACATATTATCGGAATCAGATGCCAAAAAAATGGGGGTCAAGGTCAGCTCTGGGTTGGCCGTGCCTCCCATAGTGACCTGAGGTGGGAGATGGCCTTCTGCCCACGGCAGTCTGTGGGAGCCGCCAGGGCCCGTGAGGGGCGGAAGCCGAGGGTCCAGCTGCCAGCTCCCCACAGAGGCCCAGGGCCTCTGAGGTCGGTGCTCTCCCGTGTTCAGCGTCTGACCTTCTCACCAGCCAGCACCTGACAGAATCGAAGCCATGGCTCCGTACCAAGGGCCGGGTCCTTACATCGTCACCCTCATACCCTCCACTGCCCCAGGGGCAGAAATCGTTGCCCGTGTCACAGGAAGAGCAGAAGCTTAAGGTTCTGGGGTCTGCCTGACGTCACAGCCTGGAAGCGGGAGGCGGGGGCTGGGGCTGAGATGGGCCTGGATCCCAAGCCCATGCTCGCGACACCTGCAGAGCAGCCTCGTCCCTCCGCGGAGGCACCAGCTCCACAGCCCAGAGCTCCAGCCGCTCCGGAGATGGTTTTCCAGCATCCTCCATTGGAGCCCCAGATGGGAGGGCTCCCCGCGTCCGCACCCTGGCAGCTCTGCACCCGTCACCCCCACCAGCTGCACCTGCCCCTCCCTGCAGCTTCTCACCCCCAACCCCAGTGGCTGGGCCCCGCGTCTGCAGAGAACTGGCAGGGAGAAGATGGGGGGCCAGCACACGCTGCCCCTGGCCAGGGCCCCTGGTGACAGGAGGTGGCCCCAGCCCCTGTGGGTACCCCGTCTACCAGATGGTCCTGCTGGGAGAGGGGATCTCTTATCCCAAACCTGTCCCCAGGCCCCCTGGGTGCTCATCCCCCACAATCCGCTCCTACTAGGCAGGAGACGGAAGCAGGAAGCTCACTGGTGGGGTGACGGGGGCTGAGGGAGAGACCGACCTGTGTTGCTCCCTAGGGGAGGCCAGGCCTTTGCTGGGGGGTGGGGGGCAAGTTCCGGTGCTGAGGTTTGGGGAGACAGGGCTGGAAGGAGCTGCACTGACCGCCCAGGAAGCTGTGGGGACAGTGGGGCAGGGCCCCGGCCTGCAGTGGCAGCCAGTGAGCCCCTGCCTGGGCACTCCGCACTGGGGAGGCAGCCAGGGAGCCCTGGGGCGGGGCAGGAGGCCGCTGGGGCACAGTTACCGTGGCAACGGCCAGACAGAGCGCTCTGGGCTAAGGGGAGGGGAGGAGCGAAGCTTGAGTGGGAAGGGGCTGTGCGGGGTGTGGGGCCGCTGCCTCCCGCTGGCTGCATGACCACAGGCTGCATGACCACAGGCCAGCACAGCTGCTGTCTGCTGTCACCGCGCCCCATCCAGAACGGGAGCCGCCCCCACCTCCGAGGCTGCGGGGAGGAAGCGGCGCCGTGTGTGCAAGCGCATCGTAAACAGAGTGGCTGGCTCAGGGGGGCGGGAGCCCGCTGACAGGCTCGGCTGGGGCGCTGGCTGCGGAGACCTCAGAGAAGGGACCTCAGGAGAACCCACGCTCCCCACAGCGGCCTCCCACCCTGCAGAATGACAGGCCGGACGGACCCCTGTCCTCCCCCGCGCCAGGCCCCCAGCCCAGGGGCAGGAGCGGGGCGGGGGGAGCGTGAGTGGGGGCGCAAGTCCCAAACAGGAGACAAGCGGAGGCCAGGTGCCCGTGGTGCAGGCCTGGGGGCTTTAATGCTCTGCTGGTGGGAGTGGCCGGTGGCCGTGACGCTGGACGCCGGACTGACCAGGCCGGTCCGAGGGGCGTTAGCGCCTCTGTCTGGTCAGGGCCGGTGAGGGGTCGGCCTGCCGGTCGGCTTCCTCCTGACCGGTGCGGTGGTTCCGACGATCCACTTAGCTGCTGGAGGGCGCGGCTGCCACAGTGGGCTGGCCTGCGCTCCGGCCACCCCGTCCCCAGCACCGGTTGTGCTGGCTCCCAGCCCAGGCCGAGGCTCTGCAGGCTTCACAGCCCGGGTGGGATTAGGGTCTCCTGGGAGCCCTGACACTGGTCCAGGCTGCCCAGGGAGGACCTGAGGCTCGGGCCGCCCCGGGCGCTGGCCGTGCCCACGGGGGATTCTCGTCCCCTCAGCAGCTCTGCTGCGGCCACCTCCACGTCCTCTGGCTCCATCCGGCAGGCATCTGCCAGGGCCTGGCCTGTGGCCGTGACGAAGCCAGCATCAGCCGCCAGGGCTTCCAGGCCCCCTCGAACCAGGGCCTGCAGCGGCGACAGGGGTGGGGGCTTCTGGGTGCTGCCTCAGGGCCTGTCCACACTGGCCCTGCCCTCTGCACACCCGGTCATCCGGGGCCACTGTGAATGCAGCCCACGGCCCTGGCCCAGCCCCCGCCTCACCTCCTGGATCAGCAGGGCCGTGGCTGGAGCTGGGCACCTGGAAGGGCGCTCGTGGGGCCAGCTGCTGCGGGGGGCATCCTCCGGCAGAGACCCCGGCGTGGGGGGCCTCCTGGCCTCGGGCCTGGGGGGCTCCGCCCTGGAGTGCTGTTGCAAGTGCACAAAAGCAGAGACCCCCCCGGGATACTGGAGGCGCTGGGACCCGGGGAAGCCCACTCTTCCGAGGAGCCTCAGCCAACACCCACGGGAAGAGGCGTCCCGGGGTCTGGTCCCCCTGCTATTGGCAGGAAGTCACTGCCGCCCTCGCGCTCAGCTCCCCCGGGCCCGGCCTGGTACCTGGTGGGGGCCAGGAGCTGCCTGGGCCCTGGGCATCGCTGTCGGCGTCGGCCATGCGCTCTGCTTTTCCACACGGGACTCGCTGCGGGGTGCTGTGGGCCACGCGGGGAAGCAGGGTGTGAGCTGGGTCAGCCAGCCACACCCTGAGACCCTCGGGCTGGGGAAGGCACCCTGGGGGCTGGACACGTGCTGACGCCCAGCCGGTCCCAGTAGGTCGTGCTGCTCTGGCTCCTGGACACCCCCTACTCGCCCTGGCCTCTGTCCTTGTGGATTTGGGAGCGGGGACCAGGCCAGAACTGTCAGCTCTGGCCAAGCTGTATGTGTGTGTGTGTGAATGTATGTGTGAGTGTGTGTGAATGTGTGCGTGTCAGTGTGTGTGTGAGTTTCCCCTTTCACCCTGCACACACGTCCCTCCCACTCACTCCGTCACCTGGAGGGCACCCTGCTCCTCCGCCTGGATGAGGGGCTGGACCTGCCAGCTCCCCCACTCCGGGCCCAGCTGGGCCCCACCGCGACAGGCTCCCGCGTCCGCCCTCCCAGCCCGGCTCGCAGCTGTCAGGGAAGGGCCGGTCCCCAGGCCTCCGGGAGGAGCCTCAGTTGCTCCGTGCGCTGCGGACACTGACCCTGGGCTCCTCCTCTGGCAGCGGGCACCTCCGTCTCTCCAGGGGACTCCCTCACGTGGCGGACACTGAAACGGGGGCGAGGTGGTGACCCACAGCAGACCGCCAGGGGTCCTGCTGTCCTACCCCTGTGGCCCACACGTCCTTCCCGCTCCGGGTCTGGATCGTCCTCTGTGGCGGCCGTGACTCAGGGATGGCACCCTGCCGCCCTCCCCAGCCACCCAGCCTCCGGGAGGAACACGCACGCGCCCCGCCTCCGCCCCTCTGCTGGAGGTTGCTCTTGACGGGGGTGCTGTCCCTGCACGCCCCCCCGCCCCGCCCCGTGCACACTTCGCAGCCTCGCGCCAGCCTCTCGGCCCTGGGGACACTGGTGCTCAGCACCGGCCCACAGCGGCTCCGCTGGGAGCTCTAAGGATTGGTCATGGCCGCGTCCCACTCCGGAGCCTGCGCTGAGGCCCAGGCACGGCCATGCTGACGGCTGCCGAGACGGTGCTGAGCTCAGGGCAGGCCTTTCCAGCTGGTGGCCAGCCCCACGCGTCCCGGCTCTCTGTGATGACGTGGTCCTAATCATACCACATGACAGACACGTCCCCCAACGGGACGCCAACCCGTTCAGGACAGGGCCCAGGTCTGACGATTCTGTCTTTCCCCAGCACCCTGGTCACCCGGACACAGCGTCCTTCGGGTGCGGCTGGGTTCCAGGCTGTCTGTCTGGAAGTGGGTGCGGGCGGCTCCGCCATGGGAAGTGGCCGCTCACCGGGTTTCTGCCCTGCGCTGCCCACTCCCAAGGGCATGGGACTCAGCCTTTCCAGCCAGAGAGACCTCAGCCCTGGCCCCCGTCTAGAACAGAAGCTCTGCCTGGCGCTTGGTGCTGTGACGGTTGCTAGGAGGCACCCCTTCCCCCGCCCTGCTACTTCCACGACACTGATGTGGTCACAGGTTTGGGGTTGGTGAGGGAGGAGCCACCCGGCACAGGGGACCTCCCCGGTCCCCACATCCACGGTGTCCTGCAGTCTGTGCTGCGGCTGACGGTCCCTCTCCTTCCACCCCAAACGTTCAGTAGGTCTGGGCGCCCAGACCTGCGGCAGGCGATGGGCGAGGTATCGCCCCGCCCCCGCGCTGGCGCCCCCTGCCGGCCGCAGGAGCCTCTGCAGTCCAGACCCGCCCCCGGCACTGAGGTGCCAGACGGACCCCAAAAGGCACCAATGCAAGAAAAGGACTCTTTGCATGTTTCAGGGTACCCCCTCCAGAAAAGCCTGGAACCCACGAACCACCCCTTCCCATTCCTGCCCCAGAGCCCCCACCCGGGACGGGCGGTGGCCGCTGCTACCTGGAAAACAGCCGGCGACTGCCGTGGCTGCTGCTGCCGCCGGCGGGGTTGGCGTCGGCGTTGGCGTTGTTGGCGTTGGCGTTGTTGGCGTTGTTGGCGTTGTTGGCGTTGTTGGCGTTGTTGGCGTTGGCCCGCGCGAGGGGGTTGGCTCTGGCATCTGGAGGGAAGTCCTCCAAGAACACAGGCGATTCCAGCTCTTCCATCTCTATCTCTGCAAACTGGAGGGGCCTCTGGCTGGCCATGGCGGGGGACAGGGAGTTGGTCCTTTCCAGGAAGTTGTCCATGGGGCCAAACAGGCCTCCTGTCCTCTGGGGACAAGGGGAGAGGACAGGCTGAGCACAGGGGTGGGCAGTGACTGTGCCCTGGGCCCACGGTGCTGGGAACAAGCAACGGCTCCGGGAGACGAACTCCGTAAGGCCAGAGTGGACCGGACCGGGCCGTGGGGCCAGAGAAGCGACCACCCCCTCGAGAGTCCTCATCGCTGGGGTGGACGGGACAGACCCACGGAACTCTAGGAGACACAGACATCCCAGTGGGCAGAGAGCAGGGCGTGGGCTGGCAGGGCGTGGTCCCGCCTCTGACGCGAACTTGCCAGGTGGTACTGGACACCTCAGATCCCGTGTTTGGGCCACATTTCCCCATGAACAGCCCAGGAAGGTTTAACCAGGTGGGCCCTGGGCCGTGCCAGCTCCGCGGCGTGAGCAGCACAGGGCACAGCGAGCGGCTGAGGACCCGTGCGACCGAAGCAGGAGGGGCACTTGAAAACGGGGGGCTGGAGAGACGGGGTGAAGCGGGGTTTGGGGGGACGGAAGGGTAGGACTCCGAGGAGGAAGGTGGAAAAGGTGTGTTACGTTCGACGCCTTGAGGAGGCCGGGTCGTTGAGTCTGAGTCCCCGGGGCTGTGGGTGGTGGGTGTGTTCAGTGGTCATGTCCCCCTCCTGTGTGGTGGGGTTCCTGGCTTGCCTGTCTGGGGGACGCTGCTGCCCCCGTGCTGGACAGAACACGGCGGGGGCGGGGGGAGCGGCCACGCCCTACGTACCCGGAAGATCCCCTCCTCCATCGCGGCCTCCACCATGGCCCTCTCCAGCTCCTCCTCAGCAGTCAGGTCTCCTGAGATTGTCCGGCGGATCACGGGGGCCGCCTCCTCCTCGATCGTCCTTAGTCCAGCCTGGGACAGAAGAGACTCAGTGACCCCTCTGGTCAAAAGGGGAGGCCACCCGCCTCCCGTGGCCTCGCTCATTCCCAGTGTTTGCAGTGGGGCTCGGGCTCCGGCTCCGGCCCCCACCCCTCCTGCTCATTCAACGTGCCAGGACGTCGTGCAGGCACCAGGCCCTGCTCTGGCCTCTGGGACAGTCTAAGCCCACGTGGTCCCGAGGAGTCTTCTCGTGACCTCGTGGATGATGTCATACTTTTTACTCACAACAGTCTTCTAGACAAAAGATCTCTTTTGATTGCATGTGCCATTAATACATTTTTTTTTGAGCCGATAAAGTTCACATCACCAGCAACAGGACAAATCAAGACTTGTGTCACCCGATGGTTTGCAATGAGAACTGTGGCATTCCGAGGTGCGGATCCTAAAGCTATTGCCAGAAAACATCACGGAAACCCCATCTGGCCTGCAGTCTTCGAAAGCGTCAAGGTCACGTCAACGAAAGACCGAGGAACCGTTTCTGGTGGATGAGACTGTAGATGTGACAACTACATGCAACGTGTGATTCTGGATTGGATTTTTTTTTTTTTTTTTTTACTAGAAAGGACATTATTGGGACAACCCGTGAAGCTTGTGTGGGGTAGGAAGTGTCAATGTTGGCATCCTGGTTTTGGTGGTGGCTCTGTGGCACGTAGGAGAACGCCCTCATTTGCAGGAAATACACCTTGCAGCGTCCCGGGCTGATGGGGCATCGTGCCGGGAATCACCCTCAAATGGTTCCAGAAAAAGACGGGGAGGGCTTTGCGTTACACACGCAACTTTTAAAACCGTGAGTCGTTTCAAAGTAAAAATTGCGATCGAAATAAAATTTTGCACACACAGCCCACGTGCATGCATATATTCGAATTTATAACTCGTGTGCATTATAATCACACCAGACAAACCAGAAATGAAAATCAGGTAAGACAAAGCTCTAAAAGCCTCAGCACACCGGCGGCTCGTTTGAAGCGCCCCTGGAGCTCTGCCTGCTCTGGAGACTGCTGCTCCCACGTCCCCGGGTCCTGTCGCCCAGCGGTGGGGGGGTCCTGCTTCGGTTGACCCGGCTTCCATCGTGGACCACCCAGAACTGTCGTCCCCTGTCCTCACGGCTCACCGCTCCCTCTCTCCCACCGTGCCTCCGTCACTGGCCCTCGAGGGCATGGAGAGGGCGCTCAGTCCTGAGGCCTGGCTCGGAGGCACGGTCCCTCGGAGCGCGGCTGGGCGTACCTGGATCTGTACGGTGTCCTTCTTGGGCCGATACCCATAATATTCCTCCTGGCGCTTCATGAACTTCCGGAAGTGCTCCTGGATCAGAAACGTGGCGTAGAACTTCCCCACGGTCACCTCGTCATCTGCGGAGGGGCCCACAAGGCGTGTCCTGAAGGCCGGCGGCAGCTGACACTGGGTTCAGAGCAGGGGCCGGGCGGAGCCGGGGCTGGGTGGCTCAGGCCGCCCTCCTCTCGCTGGCCTGGCCAGTGGGCAGTTTCCACCCTGAGGCCGTGTCTGCCCTGGTGACACCACGGCGTCTCTCCGGGGTGTTGACGGAGGGCCCGGGCCCTTCTCAGACTCCCAGCGGGTGCCCTGGCGAAGTCCCCTGTCCCCTTCCTCGGCCGCCTCTGGACCCCGGTCTCCCGAAGCAGCACCCACCTCCTATTGGTGGGATGACCTGGTCCAGGAGCTTCATGCTGGTTCTCTTCCAGATCTTCTTGATGATGGCCCTCAGCTCCTCGTTGGCCTGCTCGAAGTTACCTGGGGACAAGGGACAGGCCGGGGCGGCCCTGCACTCATGCAGGCCAAGGCACCTGTGCTTGACAAAGCCACCTCTGAACCCCTCACTCAAGAAACATCGCTTGCTTTTGGGGCAGCTGCCGTGCTGGATGCTGGCAGTGAGGGGAGGTCGTCCTTGATCCCTGGCAGCCAGACTGCTGGGTCCTGCGCTCACGCTCATAGGCCGTGGCTCCCGGGGCCCGAGGGGCCGGCTTTTGAAGGCTGTCATCTCCTATGCTCCCCTCTTCCCCCCACAGCTGTCAGACCCCCACACGCTGGGGCTGCCCCGAGGACCCCAGGCGGCCTTCTTGTGCTCCATCTGGGCTCGTCCTGGACCCTGGGCCTCTCTCTCCTGCTCTGCGGCTCTTGGCCGCCTGCAGTGGTCCTGACCCCGTGGGGCGGCTCTGACACAGCCCTGCCAAGTGTGGGCTCGGGGACAGGACTGAGACCCCACCCTGCTCCCGCCAGGCTTGTCTTCCAGGCAGGTGGGGACCTGCAGGTTCAGTGGGACTCGTGAGGACTCCATCAGCCTGCCTGGCACTAGCTCCCACCCAGAGACGAACCTTGGGGTGCCCCCAGTCCCCCACCAGCGCCGAGCTTCTGGGCCACAGACACAGCTGTGTGAGCCGGTCCTTGTGAGCTCCGCTCTGTGCAGGAGCCCCGAGGGGCACGAGGCTTCTGTAGCCGTGGTCTGCGGTCCCCCCTCTGCTTCTCCTGTGGCCCCTGGTTCCAAGCCTTAGCTCAGAGAACCGGGCAGAACCTGCTGCGGAAGCCGCCTCCCGAGAGGTGCGGGGCGGGGCGCGGGGCTCACCTTCCGTCTTGATCCTGAGGGCCGTGCGGACCAGGGCGAACAGAGTGGCGTTGAAGGTGACGGTGCCGTCGCTGTTCAGAGGCATGTTCATGCCCACGAGGCGCTGCGCGGGGAGAGGTGGGCTCGCTGAGCCGGCCCCCCGCCCACCGGGCATCCTCGCCCAGTGCGAGAGCCATGGGCTGACCAGGACCCCCTCCAGCAGGGGCTGGACGGCCGAGTTCGGGGACATCATCGAGACCACAGGTCCTCAGGGCTGCTCTCATGGCTCACCTAGCCAGGCCCCCGGCAGCATCCCCTCAGGCCCCTGGGCCTGTCCTCTCCCAGGCCCACCCTCCCTGGGCAGCTCACGTTACCTTACACGCCACCCGATGGGGGCAGAACTTCCCAAAGCCCAGAGGTGGCTGGATCCTTCTCAGCAGAGTCACCACGTCCAGGTGTTTGATCCGGCCCCTGCGGGAGCACAGCAGGCTGGTGGCCTCGGCAGCCCCACCCGGAGCGGCCTCCTGCTCAGGGGGCGGGCCCAGGGGAGAGCCAGGAGACAGGGGGGCTGCCTCACGCCCGCTCCGTCTTTATCAAACTCCAGGCTGTTGGCGGGGTCCACACTCTGCGCAGCCCGGGCCTGGAGCGTCTGCTGAGGCGCTGAGCTCCTGCCAGTGTCCACGCAGAAGCTGGACAATCACTTCTCAGCAAAGTCAAGGGGTGTCACTCGGGGGGGTGGGAGCCGTGGGAACCCCTCCAAGCCTGGAAACTCCAGTCCTCTGAGCTGGGAGCTTGGGCTCTGAGGGAGAGGAAGCCTGACTGTTCCTATTGGACTGGAGAGTGACTTCCCATCGGACACGAGGACGGGGTCCAGGGTGGACGGGTGGGCAGTGGCGGCAGGGCCCTGCACGGAGCCCGCGCACCGGACTCACTTGGCCTCCGGGTCGTACTCTGCCCAGATGGCCTTGAACTCGTCCAGGTGGTGAGGGCCCAGGATGGACCAGTCTCGCGTGAGGTAGTCAAAGTTGTCCATGATCACAGCCACGAAGAGGTTGATGATCTGTAAGAGGCGGCCGAGGGGGTCCCAGTGTGGAAGGCAGCTCACACGGTGGGGGACGGGGTCCACAGCTTCCCCCGCCTGGGCCCTCTGGACAACGTACGCC